TCAGAGGAGCTGGGTGAGGGGCGGAGGACTAGGCACTGGACTGCAATGGCAAGAACTTTCCAGAGAAACGGTGATGGTCTGTATATTAACTGGGGTCACAGCCACACAGGTGTGCATATTTGTCAAAAGTCACTGACCTGCACACTAAAAACTTGTGAGTTTTTATTGTATCAATTTATACCTAAAAACAGTTATTTTTTTTTAATGAAGAATAGATTTTGGATGCCTTTGAAGGTTGTGATGATAATGTGGCTGTTCTCCTTTGATAGGCCACTGCAGTGAATGATATTCACCGTTCTTTCTTCCTTCGATGTCTTACCTATTTTAAAATATTTAAAACACTAAGATGCATGCATTGCAGAAAAATGTTTAAAAGGAAGTTAAGCGCCGGGCTCGGTGGCTCAGCCTGTAATCCCGCGCCTTTGGGAGGCTGAGGTGAGTGAATTGCCTGAGCCCGCGGGTTCAAGACCCGCCTGGGCAGTGAGACCTCATCTCTACAATAAATCAAAAAATCAGCTGGGTGTGGTGGCGCATGCCTGTAATTCCGGCTACTCGGAAGGCTGAGGCGGAAGGATCGCTGGAGCCCAGCAGGCCGAGGCTGCGGTGGCCGGGAGCGGCCAATGCACTCCAGTCTGGACGACAGAGTGAGACTCCAACTCAAAAAAAAAAAAAAAAAAGGAAGTTAAGCACCTGAATGCTTGAAACACCTCCTTGGTAGAGATTACTATCAATACTTCTTTACCTCCCAAACCCTGACCAAAACATTGTGCATACATATGTGTATATGCATGTGTGTATATGCATGTTCTTGCATGTGTATGCATGTGTGTAGGAGCATGTATGCAGGTATTGCATGTGTGTGTGCCTGCCTGCATTATATTACCAGCTGTTTAAAATATTTCTACGTCCCACAAGGCTCTGTGTGGTCTGGCCCCATGTGCTCATTTTCTCTTGCTGCTGTAACAAACTTAGAGGCTTAAAACAAAAGAAATCACCACACCTATTCAACATAGTACTGGAAGCCCTAGCCAGAGCAATCAGGCAAGAGATAAAAACAAAAGGCATCCAAATTGGCACGGAAGAAATTACATTATCTCTGTTCACTGATGATATGACTTCATACCTAGAAAACCCTCAAGACTCCTCCAAGGACTCCTAGACCTGATAAATGACTTCAGTAAGGTTTTAGGACACAAAATCAACATATAAAAATGAGCAGCATTTCTATACACCACTAACACTCAATCCGAGAACCAAATCAAGAACTCAGTTCCATTTACAATAACCATCACACACACACACACACACACACACACACACACACACATACACACACACAAAGTACCTAGGTATACATTTAACCAAGAAGGTGGAAGTTCTGTACAAGGAAAACTACAAAACACCGATGAAAGAAACTGTAGACAGTACAAACACATCGGAAGAATCAGTATCATTAAAATGACCATACTTCCCAAAGCAACCTACAGATCCAACACAGTCCAAATCAAAATACCAACAGAATTTTTCACAGAACTAGAAAAACCAATCTTAACATTTGTAGGGAACCAAGAAAGAGCTTGAACAGCCAAAGCAATCCTAAGCAAAAAGGACAAATACGGAGATATCACTCCACCTGACTTCAAGTTATACTACAAGGGCTACAGTAACTAAAATGGAATGGTACTGGTACAAAAATAGGCAGAGCAGTGGAACAGAATAGAAAATCCAGAAATAAAGCTACATACCTACAACCAACTAATCTTCAGCAAAGCCAACAAAAATAAACAATGAGGACCAGGTGTGGTAACTCATGCCTAAAATCTCAGCACATTGGGAGGCTGAGGTGGGAGGATTGCTAGAGTCCAAGAGTTCAAGAACAGTCTGGGCAACATAGCAAGACCTCATCTCTACAAAAAAATCAAAAAGTAAGCCTGGCATGGTAGTACATGAGTAGAGTCCCAGCTACTAGGGAGGCTGAAGTGGAATGACCGCCTGAGCCCAGGAGGTTGAGGCTGCAGTGATCATGCTACTGCACTTCAGTTTGGATGACAGAGAGACCCCAACAACAAAATAAATAAATAAACAAACAAAATGGGGAAAGGACACCCTATTCAATAAATAATTCTGGGAAGACTTAAACATAAGACCTGAAACTATACAAATTCCAGAAGAAAGCCTAAGACAAACTCTTCTGGACATTGGCCTAGACAGAGAATGTATGACAAAGACCCAAAAAGCAAATGCAACAAAAAGAAAAATTAACAAATGGGACTTAATGAAACTAAAAAGCTTCTGCACAGTGAAAGAAATAATGAACCAAGTAAACAGCAAACCTATGAAATGAGAGAAAATATTTGCAAATTATGCCTCAGGCGATGGGCTAATATTCAGAACTCAAGCAACTCAACATGAAACAAACAAACCCATCAAAAAGTAGGCAAAAGACATGAACAGGCATTTCTCAAAAGAAGACACACGGGCAGTCAACAAACAAATGGAAAAAATGCTCAACCTAACTAATCGTCATAGAAATGCAAATTAAAACCACAATGAGATATCACACATCAGTCAGAACAGCTGTCATTAAAAAGCCAGACACCTTGGGAACCACCATACTTAGTGATCTATCAGAGAAACAAAGAGCTGAAGACCGAATGTTCTCATTCATAAGCGGGCCCTGAACACCAGTCACATTATCACAAGGGAAGGCGCAGTGGTCACTGAGCACCGCCAGGGGAGGAAGGAGGGGGAACGCTAACAACACAAAGGGTGCCTGGTCCTAAACCAAGAGAAGTGAGGGCCCTTTGGAGGCCCAGACACCAACTACGTGCAGTCTGACTGTGTAGTTACCCCTTTCTTGTACCCCGTGTCTCTATAATAAAATACATTTTTTTAAAACCAAAAGGCCAAAAACCATCAGATGTTGACCTGGATGTGAAGAAAAGGGAACACTCATCCACTGTTGGTGAGAATGTAACTCTGTGGAAAACGGTATGGTGATTTCTCAAAGAACTAAAAATAGAACCCAGCGATCCCACTACTGGGCATCTATCCATAGGAAAAGAAATCATCCTATCAAAAAAGATACCTATGCTCAAATGTTCATTGCAGCACTATTCACAACAGCAAAGTCATGGAACAAACCTCAGTTCCATTCAATAATTGAATAAAGAAAATGTGAGCCGGGCTCGGTGGCTCAGTCTGTAATCCCGCGCCTTTGGGAGGCTGAGGTGAGTGGATTGCCTGAGCCCGCGGGTTCGAGACCCGCCTGGGCAGCGAGACCTCATCTCTACAATAAATAAAAAAATCAGCCGGGCATGGTAGCGCGTGCCTATAGTTCCGGCTACTTGGAAGGCTGAGGCGGAAGGATCGCCGGAGCCCAGCGGGTTGAGGCTGCGGTGGCCAGGAGCGGCCACTGCATTCCAGTCTGGGCGACAGAGTGAGACTCCAACTCAAAAAAAAAAAAAAAAAAAAAAGAAAATGTGATATATACGCACTATGGATTACTATGCAGTATCATTTCTTTTGCAGTAACATGAATGGAGCTGAAGAATATTATCCTAAGTGAACTAACTCAGAAACAGAAAACCAAAAACTGCATGTGCTCACTTATATGTGGGAGCTCAACAGACATAAAGATGGAAATAATAGACACTGAGGACACTAACTAGGGGGAGGCGAACAGAGGGGTGAGGGTTCAGAAGCTACCTATAGTGTGCAGTGTTCACCTTTTGGGGAAGGGGGACACCTAAAGCCCAGTCCCCACCAGTATGCAATATGTCCATATAACAAACATGCACTTGTATCCCTGACTCCAAAATAAAAATTTAACAAATAAAAAAGAAATACATCCTCTCATAGTTCTGGAAGTCAGGAGTCTGAAATGAGTCTTATGAGGTCAAAATCAAGGTGCTGGCAAAAACCTTGCTCTCCTCTATAAGATCTAGGGAAGAATCTGTTTCTTTGCCTTTTCCGGCTCACAGAGCTGCATTTCTGGGCTCATGGCCCTTCCCCTATCACAAAGCCAAGGGCACAGCATTTCTCCTCTTACTCTGCGTCCATCACATGATCTTTCCTCTTCTGTCTGAAATGTCCCTCTGTCTCCTCTTTAGAAGGGCCCCTGTAGCTACAAAGGGCCCACCTGGATAATCTAGGACAATCTCCCATCCCAAACCCCTTAACTTCATCATAGCTATGAAGACCCTTTTCCATATAAGGTAACATTCATAGGTTCCAGGGATTAGGACCTAGGTATCTGTGGAGGCTACTCGGTATCTTTGGAGGCTCAGACCCCCTTATCTCTTCAGCCTCATGTCCAGGAGCCCTACCCTCTGCACATCAGCCACACTTCTCTTCTCTCAGTTCCTTGGACACACCATGCATTCTCTTGCCACAGCTGGTTTTATCTAGGATGCTAAATTGGCATCAGAGAAAAAGGATACACCATTCTGTGTAGTAGAGAAAAAAAGAACGTAAGTCCCAGGAGATAGCTGAAAGGGGGTGAAAAGAGCTGGCAATGCCAGGAACTGCACTGTTTAAAGAGACCAGAGAAGACACCTCCAGGGACTGGCATCCAAGGAACCATTCTAGAGAACAAAGGCCAATAACTGAGGTTGTTGACTTGGGCGATTTGAATCCATGCCTCCTCCACGGAACACAAATTGAGGCTTCTCTGTGCATGTGTGAAGGGACTGGTCTCATGGTCCAAGTGGCTGTGAGGTGAGCAGGGCAGCATGCAGACTCAGCAGGGTTGTGGGGGCACAGGGACATGTGGAACCAATACACATCTATGTCCAAGGAGGAACGGAGGGCACATGAGGGCTGGGCACACGCCTCACCAGCAGTCCGATTTGGCCATAGAAAATTAGTATGATGGGCTGAGAGCGGGACTAGGGACAGTGTCATAAGATACCAACACTCGTCTTTTCAAGACTCCAACCCACAGCATGCAAGGCACTGAGGGGAGACCCAGTGGTGAGGACATGTCCGTGTCCACTTACAGCTGTAGAGAGTCTTGACGCCAGTGTCATTTCCAGGTTGCCCTTGAGGCCCACTAGGGGCGGCACCAACATCAAAAGGTCTTTAACTTCCATAAACACGGGCCAGTGCTGGTTGGGAAAGAATAAAGAGATAAATTCAAACATACATATCAGCATATCTCTGGAAATTTCCTGAGAGAACCTTTGGCAAGTTACTTTTCATTCCTTATGAAATGAACAAGTAAGCCTAAGCAGTTTCTTACATGGCTTTAAACAAAGCACAAAAGAATTGTGAAGCTGTGAAATTTTTAAAATACTGTTTAAGCCGGGCTCAGTGGCTCAGCCTGTAATACTGCTCTTTGGGAGGCTGAGGTGAGTGGATTGCCTGAGCCCGCGGGTTCAAGACCCGCCTGGGCAACTTGGCAAGACTTCATCTCTACAATAAAATCAAAAATTAGCCGG